TTAATTCTTTCTTTTATGGAAAAAGAAAGGTTGTTTTAAAAATCAACTCTTGATAATGACCCGATTGTTATCAGTTGCCAGCAAACAAGGCAAAGCATATGCACAAAATGCTCACAATTACTTGATAATAAATCATTTTAATGATTATACTCAAAATTATGAAATGCGGATAGCACCGATGTGGAAAAGAACAAAGGCTCAGGGCCATCAGATCTGTTGTCCACATGTGCATGGCTTCTAAAGCTTCCATTGTCATCACTTTAATGCGTATGTTTTCTCTGTATTGTCCAATCTAGCCAGCTGATCTTGTCAAGTTACATAGATACATTGCTTAAAATTATTATAAATGTGGATTACTTTAAATGTTTTGCTTTTGAAATCATTCCCCCTTGAAACTCGTCTTGATTTCCAACCCAAATGCTTAACAATAAAGAAAAGATTAAATAATTTTATGGCATGTTCATATAACAAAATACCATGTTGCAATTGTATATTGTATATGAAAATACGTGAAGAAGGAATCTGAAATTGAGGAAAAAGAGAGAGGGGTACTAGATCTGTCTAACTTAGGTGGAAGAGTCTTTTAATAGAAATTAAGCCCCCAGGGCTTTAAGAAGAGGAATTTGCAGTCTGGGTTTAAAACAAGAGGTGGGACAGTTATAGTTGACAAGGTCTGAAGCATGCTGTGGGAATATGAGGCTAAACGGAAGTGGAGGTCACTGGGACCGAGAAAGGCAGGTAATTGTGAGATTAGGTAATTGTGCTGTCTGCATGCATATGAAAAATCATGGGATAATGGCAGGAGTTCTGATGAAGAGTAAGGCCTTATCCTAGGTGTCAAAATCTTTATACCATATAGTTGGAACAGGTTGGGGTAGGGGCAAGAAGAAAAGAGGATATATCCTAAGGCCTAAGGAAGAATAACACCAAAAAGGGATAGAGGGTAATAAAGTTGAAAAGCTTGAGATTCAAAGTTTTTCTGTTTGTCTGTTTCTTTTTTGTTTTTAAAGATGCACATCCTACAGATTTGAAATGGTTTGAAAGTACTCTTGGTGCTAGGAGAATGGTAGCTTCTTCTTGGTGGTACATGGAGTAGGGGGAAAAAAGTAGTTTCTCTTTTAAATGAATGCTTGTAAGAAAAACAAGAGAGATGGGATTTGGACAGCTAGAAAGAAATGGTAGGATATTTCAGGCAAGGGGAGTATTATAAATATGAAAGTGGAGGAAAAAATGTGCAATAATTTGATGAGATTGAGGTTTAAGGGAAAGGAATAGTGAGGGATAATTGGAAAAAAAGATTGCCACCTGATTGTGGTGAACCTTGGTTATCACTTTTACCTGTAACAGAGTGGTTCTCATTTGTCCCCCCCACCCAATATAATTAACTTGATAGGAAAAAAAAAGAAACTTAAATGTGGAATATACTCTCATCGGTAATTATTACCCAACTAGAAAAATAAAAAGGTTAAGTGTTATGTGCCTTAGCTTGTGACTTTATCTCTCTTTCTCCTAGTGATCCGAAATATTCCATTGTGTTAGTTATGTCAACCAGCACAATTAAGATGCCTTGCTTGAAACAATTGGAAACTATTGAAGGTCTATGATTTTTTTTAACAATGTCATTATGACAAAAGGTCTATGATTTTTAAAAATCCAAAAAGGACTTGTTAAAAGCAATACTTTACAAAATTAATCTAGAGGAGGCATTCCAAGTGGATTAAAATAAGATGAAGCAGGTATGAACACTGTAGGTAGTTAGTTCAGTCATGGGCAAAGAAAGACTTGGCAAAGCTCAGGGAATAATTGGAAATGATGGGTAAAAGTGAAAGAATCAAATCCTCAATATAAAATAGAAAACAAACATAGCCACGGGGGGAAACTGACTACTCAGAAGTTTGTCTTGGAAGCAGGATGATATTCAAAATACTTAGTGGTCTGTACAGTACGGTCACTCACTTATCACAAGTAGTGACAACAAATCAGAAAGGATACATACCAGTTATAAATAACAAGTATGACCACTCTGGTCTAATTTCATTGAATAGCAGCCCTGTCTAAAAGGTCCACATGGATATTAACCACTCAGAATATTATGTTTTCAAAAGAAATATATCCCTCCCATAAAAAAATCTCTGAAGCCTCCTAAATACTGAGTTAGGTAATATGACAAAGGCTATGTAGCTAACAAATGGTTGATAATGTTCAAATGCTATTTTTTAATCCAGGAATTTTTCCTATTCTACTTGTTGTAAATGCAAGATAGCAATTCTCCTTATCCTTCACTACTGCTTTTCTTTTTCCTCTCCCTGTCTCTTTCCTTTCCTTCCTTTATTCAACATTTGGTGAACATCTATATTTAGCATGTTTCCACTACAATAAAACAATCTACCCCTTTAATGTTTAATTGTCACCCCAGATCTTTAGTTCTCCCCTTTAAAGTAGACTTGGTATCTTGATGATAAAGGAATAGGAAATTAACAATTAGTAAGGAAAATAAGAATTTTGTCTGCTCGAAATTTAAATTGGCTTGTCATTCTTGGATATGTTATTAACATTTGGTAGCTAGCATATGTTTTCCTCATCCAACTCCATGGAATAAAAAAAAAACCTTTTAGGACAAAATTCTAGAAAATAATTTTTTAAGAACAAGGGCTTTTATATGAGTGATATTTTAACTATTCAAATAACTGAAAGGACAAACGTCAATATAACAAATAATAATCATTGCATAAAGTGGAAAAATTCAAAGACTTAGATGAAATTTTACAAAATTTCAGTGTCCAAATGTGTCTTTTAAATGGAAATGCACAGTTCACATTCACGTATGATTTTTTACAATTATGGTAAAATATATATAACTTAAAATTTACCATTTCAACCATTTATAACTGTACTTTTCAGTGGCAGTAAATACATTCACTTTGTTATGCAACCATTACTGCTATCCATCTCCCAAATTTTCATCATCCCTCACTGAAACTCTGTACCCGTTGAACGATAACTCCCCACTTTCCCCCAGCTCCTGGTAACCTTTGTTCTACTTTCTGTCTCTGTGAATTCAACTATTCTAGTTACCTCGTATAATTGGAATCATACAATATCTGCATCACATATGTTTTTTCAGCACCTTTTGAAAGCATCTGGGGTAGAGAATTGAGAATAAATGTAGTATCAACTAGTGGTTCACTTGAGAATGATATGTGAAGACCAAAGTGCTTTCCTACCTCTTAACTACAGAATTCAGAATTCTTAGACTCAGAAGCTGTATCTCTCTTTCCTGTTAGTTCATAATAAAATTGAGCCCTTTATACTTTTTGGAATTTTACTTATAGTTAAATTACATACTTTTAGCCACAAAATGTGTAACTGTTAGCTCTACTGATAATCCATTTATACTATCAGCTAGGTCCCAAGCACCTTATATACATTATCTCATTTGAAGCCTCACAACAACTCAATGAAGCATGTAATGCCCTATTTTGTAAGAATGGAAATCAAGACTGAGAGACTTTAAGTAATTTGTTCAAGGCCACACTGCTGCTGAAAGCAAAGTTAGGAATTGAACTCAGGTTTGTGGCTCAAAAGCTCACAGGCACCCTCTACTGTTAACTAAACAATGATATGATTAAGATAAGAAACATCTTGTTCTGAACCAACACTTTTTGGAATATATAATTTCCAATGTATTTCTTTCTATAAAAGTTTTTAATGGCAATGTTTGCTTCAATTTGACAATACAATATTAAAGTAAATATTTTAAATCACCTCAAACACCAAGAATTACGCCTTGCTTGCTATAACGAGGAAAGAGAATTTAAAATGAAGTACATCATTGTGTTATTTGTAAATAACATATTGCAGCCAACTGCTTCTTAATTGCTCAAACTGTTGATAAATAATCCAGCCCTGCTGCTCTCCACAGATAATTTGCTTTGGATCAGACTAGGCAATTCAAACAACACTAATTATAGTGAAACCCTTTTGTATGAATTCCTGTTTGCCAGGGGGCAGAAAACCCCTTTATAAAGGGTTAAGGCACTTTTCTCTGATTTTTCCCTGAAACATGACACCTATTACCTGTCATCAACTTACATTCCTTGAATGAATTTTGGTTAAATAAAAATGGATAAAGTTATATATTGTGTTGAAAAAATATGTATTTCATTGCTCTACCCTTTATTGTACTGTCGTGAATTATGTTAATTTTATATTTTTAATTAAAAGATAGAACAGATGTGGAAGATTTATCTAAAGCAATATTTTCATTGAAATAAGCTATATTGCTAAACGATTTGCTGTAAGAGAGAGTTGTGTGTTAATAGATAAATGTGTCTTTACTAGAAAGAAACCAACGCTTTAGGAAGTCTTCACTATATCAAGGGATTTGCTGTAACATGATATCATTGTATTTATGATTTTATGGTGTTAAAATGAATATTAAATGAAACAAAATTCCCCAGGATTACTCAGGAGGCAGCTAAGTACATAGCATTTTGCATAGATGGTTGGAAGGCACAATTTTGCCCCGTCACTGCCTCCATATCCTTGAACGATTTCGACTGAAGACAGCATTTCTTTGAATTTTTCATTAAACCAGACGTCTTGAAATATGAATTCCTTTTATGTTTCTGTGAGTTTTGGCTAAAAGAACCCCAGTGAATAAATCATACAATACTACATGTCACCAGCACTTGTGAATATTTCTGCTTTGTTATTCTATTCTCAGTAGAGCACCATTGATTATCAAACTCAGCGGAGAGCATTTTATGATCATATATCTCCATTAGCTCCTAGTTTGACTACCATAGATTTTTCTGGTTAAGCTTGCATTATGTATTAGGAAGCCTATCTCTTCAATACAAAGTTTGATTTCATTTTTCTAAGCCTAGAACTCTTATTATGTATCATGTATAAAGATTCTTATCTTTTATATGTAAAAATAGGCTACACTGTCTTTGTGTAACTGAAATGTAGGCCATGTTTTTTTTCTTGATTCACAGGTAGCATATTATACTATGAAGATGAATCTCTACAATGCAATGGCTGTCAGGGTAAATATTTCTTTACTTGTTAAACAAATGAAAAGTCAATTGTGCCCTGAATTCACTTTTAATAAAATGAGCAAAGCAGAGTAATGCAAATTTGATTGATATGCTAATGGTAAAGAGAGAAAAGAGTATGCAGTTAAAAAGTTAGTTATGCTAAATAATCTTGGCAGTATCAAAAATTAGAGTAAAATGTAAAACATGTAATTATAAATGCTTATGTTTTAGAATGTTAAATATCTCTGAGCCATAACTAGAGAAAGACTTAAATATTAATGAAGCGATGTATTAGTTTCCATATGTCATACAGAATATATTGTGATAAATAGACGAACATGGTTCTGGAATATAAGATTCCTGCCCAATACAAATCAATTAGAAATTATTCATATGATTTAACAGTAATGAAGTCAGTTTCCAGCTTAGAAGTTTCATTTCTATCATTTCTGTGCTCATTTTTTATGTGTTATTTTTCTAATAGAAAGCTGAATTTAGCAATTATGGGGCTGGAGCTCGGTTTCTGCACAGATTTTGGGAATGGGCAAAATAAAAAGATTATTTCTTTTGTTTCAGACAAAAGGTAATAGCTTAATTGCTAAGCTATTATAAATGGAGGCATTTCTTAAATGAATTTCACTAATGTCCCTAAAACCTATGTTGCCTTATTCTCTTTCATTAATCTGTTACTTCTTCTGCAATAATAGATTTTATTTTGGGTGAGACACAGTAGTAAAACACTTTCTGAAAGTCCTGTGTTGAACCATGGTGGACAAATTAACATTATTTTAACGATATATATTGTTTTTGAAAAGGGTGCTTTCCTCTACAGGTGTGAGTATGCTGGTAGTCTAGCTCAGGCACAGTCTGCGCTATCTGTCTGCCTCTCTGCTCTCCTGGAGTTTGAGGAAAAAAACAAGAGGAAGAAATAGGCCTTCCTGCTTCTCCTGAGTTAGAGGCAGATACTCCAGCTCAAATGGGCTATTTGCCATTCTCAGTAATATTCATATAGGAAAACAACTTGATTTTCCTCTTTTAACGGGAATGCTTTAGTCTGGGAATTTAAGAGATCTTGATTCTCTGTGTAGCTCTGCCATAGACTTGACCTTTCAGTCTAAAACACCATTAGAGATTCTTTTCTGCTTACTTCATGTCAGATGTGTCTCCAAACTAAAGAGTATTAGATGACTAAGAACCTAAAGCATTTAATGACCAAACATTTAGAGATCTCCACAGATCATCAATGGAGATCATAGAGGGAGAGCTTTCCTTTCTTCTTTGCTATTAGGAGAAGCATAGAAGACAGGGTTAGAAAAATGTATATTTTTGTTTATTGTTTAGCCTCAAACCTTTATATTGAGTGTGATCAGGCTTGAATCATTAAGGTTCCTTTTACCTAGACTAGGCATATCTAAGAAACCCACATCAACATAAGCCCTTTGGAGGGGAGCGTTTTTTTACTTATTCTAATGTCATACTAAAAGCTCTATTGCTTAATAACATCATCCAATGTCAACTTGTCTTTGATTAATGTCCATGGACAATGTTGAACTTTACCTGAGTCCTGTGATCTTGGAAAATAGCAAAGATTAGAAAAAAAATAGCTTACTGCACAAAGCTACCCTTCCATATATGAATTAGGTAAGATAAACTGGGATACCCCACTTGTTTACCTATGACAAGGCCGGACACATCTCCTCCAAATTCCTATCCTTTATCTCACAAATGCTTCACTAAATGGCCTGAACTCATTGATCAACTGGAGCAAAATGTTTGTTAACCAGACTGTGATTTAGCATCTTCCCTCCTCCAGGTCCCTGAACTTTGGCCAGCACATAGCATCTCATTAATATCCCATGCTGAGAACAGACTAGTTTAAGGGTAAAACATTGTCTGATCTGCTATCCAATCATGCCACCCTTTCATTCCACTTCTCACATCAGATTCTTTCTAGTCTTGTTTACACCTTCCTATAAAAGAAAAACTCTTTTTACCTAACTCTTGACATGCTTGTAAATCGTATGGTCAAAGTGTTTTCCCTATTGCAGTAGTCCTCCTCTGCTTATTGCAATGGTCACTCTTCTCCTTCCTTTTGCAATAATCCTTTCGAATAAAATCTGTCCTTACAAAGTCAGGATTCTTGTTTTGTTTTTTCTTTTGACATAACATCCTGGGAAAAAAGAGTAGGGATGGGAATGCAGTAGAGCTTAAAATGAGGGGAAGGAAGATTTCAACTTTACCTAGAGGTTGGAATGACCCATTAAAGACACTCAAGAATTTCTGTGAGTCTACGTGGAGTATGTAAAGATTATTGTGGGACATTTATAATAAGAAATATTTCTCTAACAAAGAAGTTCAAAGTCTTCCTTCAGAGGTTTGAGATGAGTTAACTTGATAATAAGACTAGGTACTCCGTGTTCCTAAATTGAGGAATTAGGAATGAGGCTTACTTGTATAAAGGCCACAAGTGATTCCCTAACAAAGATTAGTTTTTAGCATTGGTTGAATACAGTGACCAGTGACCAGAACTGAATTTATTTATAAGTGGACTTTGGCAAATTTATTGGTCAGTGGATTTTTGCAAGATGGTGCTCTTAAAATTTTGCTCTCTGTAGGACCGAGTGGTTGAAGAGACCAGTGTGGTCCATATAGCTTTGTGTGGTACACATCTGAAAATTACAACCCTAATTAGATACCAGTAGCTGAAGTTTTATTATATTTCTATTAACTACAACTCCGCTTTTTCAGTTAATAAGCTATCAAATAATTTTGTTCAAAATAACTACCCTATAAATTATATAAACATGAGTGGCAAGTGTTCAGGAGGAAGAACCGCTAGAGGTAATAGAAAACTAGCAAAAATCTATATGGCCAATATTATTTAGATGGATATATAGGTACCCAAATCATAAATAGGACCTTCACATACAATATGTAAGAAAAAACTTTTGTCTTAATTTGCCTCATGCACAGAGCCAATTGGAAGTTTGTATGTTTGGCTATTGATTGCTACCATGACAACTAAATTATGTTCGATTGTCAAAGAGGATAGTGGAGCATTTCTGAAAAGAGAGAAGTTTTACAAATTTATTTATAGGCTCTCCATCCCAAAATAGATGTCACTCTTTTGTAATGAAGAACAAATTATATGTATGTGATTTTCTTTTATGTAATAGATATTAATATCCTGATTTGCTGCATTTATTTTTTAAAGGGTCACCTTTTCTCTAAAGACTTTATGATCCCCCTAGCCCTGTAGAATTCATCACTCTCTCTTTTTATGTCCCTATTTTACCATCGACATACTTCTGTTATAGAACCTGTAACATTTTATTATCTTTACTAATTTACATGCCTGTCTCCACCCCCCACACACTGTAAGTCCCTTAAGGCCTGGATCCTGTCTTCCTCATCTTTGTCTTCAATGCTTGGCTTATAGTAGGCGGTTAAATAAATGTCCCTGAATAAGCCAACCACCAACTAACACTGGTCCATTCTTTTCTAAACAAGGAGTAAAAAATATCCTTTGCTTTAAATACTTTTTCTCTAAGTCCCTAAGTGCCCTTGGTGGAAATTATTTGAGCCTTTGCTGGGGGATCTGTAAGCCTTATTTGATTACCTGACTAGGCTCTGTGCTGTGGATGAACTGGATGGGGTAAGATAGAATTCGGTTAGTGCAGTCCATACGCGAATGGAAGACTTCATGAGATTTAGGATTTTGCTGAAGTAGCTTAATAAATACAGGTTTGAAGGAGGTTTTCCGTGATATAAACTGCTGTCAGAACCCACAGTGTGCCTTTACAAAACCCCTGCTGCTGATTTGCTGCGAGGCCAGTGACAGTCAATTAATACAGCGATAAATTGCTCAGTAAATTTTTATCTTAGCTCCCAGGGCCCTATTCCTCCTGTTTCTCTGTGTGGCACTTTATTTCCTTCTCAGGCTTCAATTTGACTTTACTCCAGATGAGGGTTCCACTTTTCTGCCAGCACCTTGGCTGCTCCATTGCGGATCCTATTTAAATTTGGTCCCCAACTTTTATTTTCAGTTCTCTCTCTTTAAACGGGTTTTAGTATCGTATGCAGATGTCATCAGCTGATTCGGTCGCTCAACTCATTTCTCGCCCTGTCCCGTCTAGATATACAATTGTATATCTTCTCACAGCCCCGCATTACCAACCCTCCATTTTCCATGTTGGTGAGAATATAGGTAAGCACTTGGGTGTCAGTTACCTCAGGCCCACCAAATACTGGGTTTAGAGGGTCAGCTTCCTAACTATACTGTAAGGATGAAGGCAAGAATTACTTTATGTGTGGAAATCTCTCTTAAAAATATCCCCAGGTATCAAAAAAATTCAGTTTAATGGAATTTTTTTTATCCATCCTAAGGTCTATTACTTGTCTCTTTTTCCTAGCACCTTGATTCAAGGTTATTATTCAGTGTTTTCTCTTGCTTATGGCTTTTGCTTAACCGGCTGACCCCATCCAGGAAGAAGTGTTTCCTATGGCATTACCCATATCTTATACCTAATCCTTAACATTTGTAGGGGGAAAAATAACACAAGACCAACACTAAATGTATGTAAAAGATTATATACATTCAGCCTCAACCTTGTTGCTGAGGTCCCCATTTCCCCAATGGAATGACTCCAGATTCTGAAACTTACTACCTAGAATGCATAGATATAGCTGGTAGATCCCTGAACGTACCTTAGTCAAACTGACTGCCATTAAGAAAAAATAAAGATTAAAAAAAGGGTACGCCCCAGATTCTGAACTTAGACTGAGTGGAAGCCATGAGGTGCTACCTGGCCAGACTTAAGTGGATTCTGTTTCCTTGGATCTCCCTCTCTCTGAAGACCTCTTATTTTATTTGTCCCCCTTCTAGATCAATTCTCCTTTGATTGGGATATGTTAGCGTTTGTTGAGAAAAGGAGGTTGGAGACTAGATTAGCAAAGTTTCAAAAGCAAAATTATAGTGTATTAGAGTGCAGGGGGAAAAGTTAGTCTTA